AGTAACTTGCCAGAGGTCACATAGCTAATAAGTGTTTAAGGCTGATTTAAGTCTTCCTGACTCCAAGTTCAGCACTGCCAGCTGCCTTGGCTAGGGGAGGTTTTAGCTGGTAGACAGGGAATATTGAATGGGTGGTGGTACAAGAAAAGCCTTGGAATCAACTCATACTCTGGGATAAGCTGCATGAAAGAGGCTTATGATCTCTTAACTACTTTACCACAGATAACCCTGACCCATAATGAAGAATGGTGACTATGTCAGAACTGCATCAGCAACTATGCTCCAGACCTGATCATCCTGATGCTGGCCCTGTCATTGTCACAAGTCTAGATAGGGTGAGACACACTATAAACTACAAAGATTTGGCATTACTTACCACATGGACCAGATAATTTCTTCCAAAGGGAAGAAATGAAACCTGAGATTTCTGGTCTTCATTCTCTTCCATATTCGATCACTCATTCTTTCATAAGACCATTAAACTGAATTGATACGTTTTATTTTGTGTTTGCCATACTGCTGGTTTAGTTTTTCTTTTCCTTCTCCAATGCTGGCCAAAAGAAGCTTCTGATGTCCCAATCAAGATTAGGGTTATCCAGTAACTTAAGGTCATTTAAGTGGTAGAAGGTATTCTAGAAGATCCTTAGAATTTTGTCACCATGGGGTGGGATGTGGAAGATATACTATTTACCAGAGTTCCCTGACATGTAGGAAATGAGGAGCAATCTGTGAATCACAGCCAAATGCTGGCTTTTAACCAAGTAGCCTTTCTAAGCTACAGCTATGTAAATCTTCAGTTAACAGTTGAAAATATACTATTGAATAACTGGACTTTTCAGCTAACTCTACTATACATCTGCTGCCTTGTCTGGTTTCAAATCAAGGAAACCTTCTCTTGGAAGGTTAAGCTCATTATCTCTAATCTTCTCACCAAGCTGTTAACTCAGGCCTTGACTGACACTACCTACCTTGGACTCCTCTGACTGAAGGATCAGAACAACAAACTCCTAAAAAAAAACCACCACAAACCCTTCTGCCAATGCCTTCCTTTATAAAGGGCAGAAACAGGACTTTTCAGCTCACAACATATGAACTTGCATCTGATGCCCCCATACTCCCTGGCTTTTCTGCCTTCTTTTGAGTGTTGTTTCCCCCATTAGATTGTAAGCTCACTGAGGGCAGTGATTGTCTTTCTTTTTATTACTTATATCCCCTGCACTTAGCAAAGTGCCAGGCACACAGTAGGTGCTTAATCAATGTTCATTCCATTCCAGTTTAGAAACTAAGCTGCCAAGTCTGGCCTATTCAAGAGCCTCTCCCTAGGGAGTGTAACTAGGGGTTGAAGATTAAAAGAGAAGGTTAAAAAGAAAAGTTATGAGACCAGGCATACAGAAAGCCACAAAAACTTTCACAGACAGGTTGGGTTCATGATATGCCCAACATGCCCAACTTGCTCAGCTTGGCTAAGCAGCATGTACTATGGTGAAGGAAAGAGAAAGGGAGGGAGGGAAGGAGTAGTTACATTACCAACAGGCCATTTGCTAAAGGAACTATCATTCCAGGAAGTGTACATAGTTAAATTTGATGACATTAAGCAAGACAATATGGTGGAACAGTTACAGTAAATACTTTCTCACTTTTCTCTCATAAGACATCTTCGGAGTAGGAAGAAAATATTATTATCCCAATTCTAAACGGGAAAAATAAAGACTAATGATCTCCCCAAGGAATAAAAAGTAGGTATAAAGTCCCTTTTCCTTAGGAAAATAAAAGCATTAGTCCATTTTTGGTAAATAGTGCTCTTTTAAAGTAATAAAGATATCTACGGACACTGTATATTTACATGGTATACATAAGAAAAGGAAATTATTTGTAATAAAAAGACAACCTTGGAAGGTTTATTGGTTATCACTCAAATATTTCAATAAATCTTCTGTGGGATGGGATAAAAAGGCAAATGTATGAAAGATCATCATTCATTTTTCTAAAGACAATTAACTTATTTCTGTACTATGTATGTTTATTCTTTCCTATATATCTTACAAATCAAATTTCTCAGGATTAAAGCCTATTAAACAAGTACATTTTCAAATTTCCCTTTGGGTCTGGAAATCAGAAAAGGTACCTTAATGCTTTTCAACAGCAGTGGCTAGATTGATAAATGGTCAAAGGATATGAACAGACAGTTCTCAGATGAAGAAATTAAAGCCATCCATAGTCATATGAAAAAATGCTCTAAATCGTTATTGAGTAGAGAAATGCAAATCAAAACAACTCTGAGGTATCACATCACACCTATCAAATTGGCCAACATGACAAAACAGGAAAATGATAAATGTTGGAGAAGATGTGGGAAAACTGGAACACTAATACATTGTTGGTGGAGTTGTGAAATGATCCAACCATTTTGGAGAACAATTTGGAACTATGCCCAAAGGGCTACAAAAACGTGCATACCCTTTGATCCAGCAACAGCACTTCTAGGGCTATATCCCAAAGAGATCAAACAAATGGGAAAAGGACCCACATGTACAAAAATATTCATAGCAGCTCTTTTTGTGGTGGCAAAGAATTGGAAATTGAGAGGATGCCCATCAATTGGGGAATGGCTAAGCAAGTTGTGGTATAGGCATGTAATGAAATACTACTGTGCTATAAGAAATGATGAACAGGCTGACTTCAGAAAAACCTGGAAAGACTTACATGGTCTGATGCTGAGTGAAGTAAGCAGAACCAAGAGGACTCTGTACACAATAGGAGCCACGTTATGCAATGACTAATATTGTTAAACTGAACCCTGCTCAGCATTACAAGGATCTAAGACATCTCCAGAGGCCTTGGGATGGAAAATGCTGTCCACATCCAAAGAAAGAACTATGAAAGTCGAATCGCTATCACTTATTTTTACCTTCTGTTGAGTTTTGTTTCATATTTCTGATGGTTCCTCTCATTGGTTTTAATTTTTACTTACAACTTCACCAATGTGAAAATATGTTTCATGAGTATGTAAATGTAAAGCCTATTTCAGATTGTGCACCTTCTTGGGGAGGGTGGGGGTGAGGAAGGGGGAGAAAAATTTTGAACTCAAAAGCATATGGAAGTGATTGTTGATAAATCAAAATAAATTAATAAAATTTTTTTAAAAAGGCAAAATAAAATAAAATAAAATAAAAAATTTTAAAAACAGTAGTGGCTAGTTTCAACTATGATTAAAGTCAAAGGAAAAAAAGGTGAACAAGCAGTTCCAATAATTTTCATATGAAAGCCTGCACCATATAAAACTATAAAAACCTGGCACCACACCACAAAGCAATCTCTAGAGATTGCTTTGTATGTCTTCTCAAATTAGTTTTTACCCCTTCTCAAGCGCCTTCTCAGTTCCTCCTTCAGCTTTCTACAGGGTCTTTCTCATTTTTTGTGACAAAGATTCAAATCCCCTATTTTGTCCTTTAGATAACTAAGAGCAGGCAGTTATTGGGGGAAAAGATGCATTCCTGCTGCTGTTGCAGAAAGAAATAATAATGAATTTATGTGCTCAGAATTATTAAGTCTTGATTACCAACTCATAATATATAACAGTGATAGGATGAGACAAAAGAAATTGCTACAGGATAGAAGGGAAGTTCCTATTTGTTCAGAGTTTTCAGTTTCATGAACAGACAAAATTTTCTACTTCTAAACACACATACAGGCAGCTTGGGAAATTTGGTCAAAATCTCATGTTTAACAAATACGATTAAAAAATCCAGTTCCATGTAATAAGGAGACTCTTCTCATGTCCTGGCAGAGAGCCGTTTCTAATTCTGTTTTTATGACACAGCTACAACAAATTGTTTAAATGATAGAGCCTACAAAATGGATGGTTCTACAAACCCCTGACCATTCAGCCATCAGTTTAACAAAGGTATGTCTTTCTGTTATAGTTCTAAAATATAGTAAACTGTATTTGAATATATAATGTAAAGTTTAATATGTTTTTCAAAATATACCTGGAAGGAATATTATATTAAGAGGTGGAGGACATAAAGAATATTTTCTTTTGCCAACAGTAAGTTCCTGATTATCATGGAGTTTTTGTTTTTGTCTCTCTCATTCCCTCCCTCTTTCAACACCCTATGATGGGCCATTTGCCTAGGAGGAAAGTAAAAAGACTAAGAAGCCTAACTTATCATTTTAATTAAAGGATAGTTCATGAAACATCACGAGTCTAGAGCATTCAGGGGAGAGGGCAAGGTTTGAGCAGAAGATGTAGCAGTACTTCATAATGTATAAAAGAAAAGAGAGGCAGGGCAGGGACATTAATTACATTAATGATAACAATAACAACTAACATTTAAGTGGCATTTTGCTTGCAAAGGATATAATAATTCTGTGAGCTAGGTATTATCAAAGGCATTGGAATAAGGTAACTAGGATTCTCAGGTTTCAATAGCCTGTACTGAGTAGATAGGGCTAAGAAAAATTCTTAATGAAGTTCTACGTAGCCCAGGAAAAATGAAGTACATAGATTCCCATCATTTGCATTCCAGCCAAAATGGTATAGGCTCCCAATTCACCCACAAGTTTTGAAAAATATACCCTTTAGTTATAAAATTCTATGACATCTAAAACATTTTTGTAAGTATGTTATACAGATATGTATATATCTGTGTGTATATATATATATATATATATATATATATATAGCATATACAGATATGTATGTATCTGTGTATATATGTAGTGGAATTCAAAAACAACTTCCTTTTCCATAGCCAACTCACAAACCCTACTTTGCTACTGTTTGCAAAAAAAAATTAACACACACAAATTCTTTATTTTAACAAAGACGAGCTACTCTATAGAACAAACAACTTATATTTTCATCATGGTTCAAGTATAATGAAGCAATTTTAGCAGATAATTAAAATGTAACTTTACCTATCTATACTTAGAATATACCCTATATGTCTGAAACAAATGATGATTTTCAGTTAAAGAAATATTTTGTAGATACTTACTTCAAAAATAAAAAGTATACCATCTAATTCTTCCCTTTGAGACTTGTGACCTAAAATGTAATCAAAGAAAACAAACTGAAATATAACCATCACTTGGGAAATTATTCATTGAGATATATACTACTAGTAAATTTCTATTTCTATAAGCATTTAGTATTTTTTTAAAAAACCAAACATGGTTTCATTGATTCTGTATTAAAATCTGAAGCTCTGTTTGGTTTTCTAGAAAATATATATGCCTCCTTCTACCACATGTTGTTTTTTAAAGGAACAGTAAAAATCATTGAACAATTTCTTAAAGTCATCCCCAAGTATTAAAGTGGTAGAACAGAGAGTGAGAAACAAAGAAGACAGGAAGACCAGGAAAGAGAAAAGTGAATACTGCCTCAGGTGACAGAAATGATGATACTGCCATCCTAGCTGCTGCCTATTTCACAGATGCATGTCATTTATTGATCACAAGTGGAAATTGGGTAAGAAAGGTATAGCTGACAACTGCCAAAAGAAAATAAATCACTTGATCTCAAAACTATAAATCTCAGAGGTAAATTTTATAAGCATCTAAATATGACAATAAAAAGCCTTGAGGGATTCTTTTTTTTAGGAGTCTTACCTTTCTGTTTAAGGCTAACTTCAATGGTCACAAAATTTTCAAAGAACACATAATATACATGTGAAAAATGTTGGTCAAAAAATTGTTTAAGATCAACAGATTCAGCATTCTCTGTAAAAACAAACAAACAAAAAAGATCAATGTATTTCTATAATCCACAAATTTTAACCATTAATTAGCACATATTCTAAGGAATAGGATCTTTAAAAGATGCCAACTTTCTTTCAATGAAAAAGTCCAAGCTTTTTTCTCCCAATTAAAGTTACATGCTGTTTAATATGGTCTAAAGTCAAGTTTTATTTGCTTTTATTTTAAATTCATGTTTCAACCGATACGATGTTTACAAGAACACAAATGAAATTATCCTTATTTCACACATGAAGAAAACAGACTTGAAAGATCATAGCTTATCCAGAAATATTTATTAAACAATGAACAGAGAAAATCAACTGGGAATTATGCTAAAGTGATTAAAATATCCATCTTTCACCCAGAGATCCTACTGTTAATATGCCACAAGGAGTTAAAAGACTAAAAGCTCCCATAAATACTGAAATATTCAAAGCAGCCCTTAGTGGTAGCTAAGAACTTGAATAAAAGCAGATGCCCACTGACTAGAAAAATGGCTAAACTAATTGTGGAATATTACTGCATCATAAGAATTCAGAGATGGCATAGAAAGACTTAAACGAACTAATGCAAAATGAATTGAACATTAACCAGGAAAGCAGCACACACAACTGCAACAATGTAAATGGAAAGAATAACATTCACAAAGGAAACTGTGAGGACCAGGCTTAGCGCCAGAGTAAAGAGGCACAATCTATATTATGGGAACCTGACCATTTTCAGACATGAATCTGACTTTTTTTTTTTTTGGCAAGGCAATTGGGGTCAAGTGACTTGCCCAGGGTCACACAACTAGTAAGTGTCAAGTGCCTGGTCTGAGGCTGGATTTGAGCTTAGGTCCTCCTGACTCCAGGACCAGTGCTCTATCCACTGCACCACCTAACTGCCCCATGAATCTAAATCTTAATGAGTAAATTAACCCAACCAAAGTATAATCAAGAGCATAAAAACCCAAAATGTCAATAGCTTTAAAAGAAGACTATCAAGTTACCTCTAATTTGGGGTAAGTGGCACAAAACAAACCCCACAGAAAGGTACTGGAGACAAACCTGTTGAGAGCATTAAGTTCACTTTTAAAGAGAAGACAGTTTAACTAGCTCTCACTGGAGCAGAAGTTTGTTTATTCTACTTAGTTCAAATGATAGCAAAAGGCTCTGAAGTGAGCTTTTTTTTTAAGTATCCCTAACCCGTTTTCTCCAAGTCCATCTACTCACTTAAAGATAGATTAATTTAGCGTGCTAACTTGTTCTCCACCCAATTAAAATTGTCCTCTGTGTAAACTGATACATTTTCTCAGCCCACCATAAAACTACCTAGCAGGTAGACAGATCCTGGACAGTTTTCCGTAACTGGCTAAAAACATACTCTGTCCTCAGGTCTAACAAAAGCACACCATCTCTTTCTCTCCCAATCCCTATAAAGATGAACCTTTGGCTACTTAAGAATAAGCCAACCCAGGGGGCAACTAGGTAGCACAATGGATAGAGCACCCACCCTGGAGTCAGGAAGTCCCGAGTTCAAATCCTCAGACACATAATACTTACTAGCTGTGTGACTCTGGGCAAGTCACTTAACCCCAACTGCCTTGCAAAAAAGAAAAAAAAGGAATAAGGCAACCCTCAAGTCCCCAACCTCCACCGCCTTTTCTCTCATCCTGTTAACATGAACCCTACTCTTCCCATGTTCCACACTCCAGTTCTGCCCACCATTCCACTATGCCTTCTGAAGCTTCCATTTCCACAGATAACAAGTTTCCCTTCTTTTAAACTTCTTCCTCTCTAGCTCCTTCCACCTTCTTGCACTTACTGAGACTTAGGCGCCTCATAAATGACAATATGTCACTAGTCACCCCACTTTGTCACAGCAGAGGAGCTTGCACAGCTTAATGAAACTATGAGCTATGCCATTCAGGTTACCTAAAATAGGTTACAGTGGAGAGTTCTGACAAAAGGTGATCCACTGGAGAAGGAAATGGCAAACTACTCCAGCTATCTTTGCCAAGAAAACCCCATGGACACTACTAAAGTGATAAAAGAGGTGACATCAGAAAATAAGACCCTCAGGTCAGAAAATGTCCAACACACTACTGGGGAAGAGTGGAGGACAACTACAAGTAGCTCAAGTGTTAATGAAGTGGCTGAGCCAAAGCCAAGAGGAAGCTCAGCTGCAGCTGCATCAGATGACCAAAGCCCAATGCTGTAAAGATCAATACTGCATAGGAACCTGAAGTGTAAGATCTATGAAGCAAGGTAAACTGGATGTGGTCAAACAGGAGACGAAAAGATTAAACATCAACATCTTGAGTGTCAGTGAACTTAAATGAACAGGCATGGATGAATTTAATTCAAGATGATCATCACATATACTACTGTGGGCAAGAATCCTTAGAAGAAATGGAGTAGCCTTCATCGTCTATAAGAGTGAGATAAGCAGTACTAGAGTATAACCTCAAAAATGACAGAATGATATCTATTCAAATCCAAGGCAAGCCATTCAATATCAAATTAATGCAAGTCTATGCTCCAATCACTGATGCCAAAGAGGCCAAAGTTGACCAGTTCTATGAAGACCTACAACATCTTTTAGAGGTAACATCTAAAAAGATATCACATTCATCATAGGGAACTGGAATGCTAAAGCAGGAAACCAAAAGATAATTCAAATAACAGACAAATTTGGCCATGGAGTACAAAATGAAGCAGGGCACAGACTAACAGAGTTCTGTCCACATAACTCCTAGGTCATAGCAAACACTTTTTCAACAACCCAGATGGTCAATATCAAAATCAAATTGATTATATACTTTGCAGCCAGAGAAGCTCTACACAGTCACTTAAAACAAGACCTAAAACTGACTCATTAGCTTCTTGCTGCAAAATTCAGACTTAAATTGAAGAAATTAGGGAAAACCATCAGACCACATAGGTATGATCTAAAGAATATCCCTTATGAATATGAACTAGAGGTGACAAATAGATTTAAGGAATTAGATCTGCTAGGCAGGGTACCTCAAGAACTATGGACAGAGGTGTACAATATTGTGCATGAGGCAACAACAAAAAACATTCCAAAGAAAAAGAAGAGCAAGAAAGCAAAATGGCTACATGAAGAGGCTTTACAAACAACTGAGGAAAGAAAGCAAAAGGGAGAGGAGAAAGGAAAAGATATACCCACTGAATACAGAATTACAGATAACAACAAAGATAAGGTTTTCTTAAATGAGTAATTCAAAGAAATACAAGAAAAGAACAGAATAGGAAAGACAAGAGATCTCTTCAAGAAAATTAGAGATATTCATGCAAAAATAGGTGTGATATCTTAACTGATATCACTGATAACCACAAGAGTGTGGTTACTGATCTAGAGCCAGATATCCTGAAGAGTGAAGTCAAATGGGCCTTAGGAAGCACTACTAACAATAAGGCTAGTGGAGGTGACGGCATTCCAGCTAAGCTATTTAAAATCCTAAAAGATGCTGTTAAAGTGCTGTACTCGATATGCCAGCAATTTGGAAAATTCAACAGTGGCTACTGGAATGGAAAAGATCAGTTTACATCCCAATCCTAAGGAAGGGCTATGCCAAGGAATGTTCCAATTACTGAACAACTGCACTCATTTCACATGCCAGCAAGTTTATGCTTAAGATTTTGCAAGCTAGGCTTCAGCAATATGTGAACTGAGGATTACCAGAAGAGCAAGGCTGTTTTTAAAGAGGCAGAGAAACTAAAGACCAAACTGCAAACATTCACTGGATTATGGAGAAACCAAGGGAATTCCAGAAAAACATCTACTTCTGCTTCATTGATTATACTAAAGCCTTTCATTACGTGGATCACAACAAAATGCAGCAAGTCCTCAAAAGGATGAGAGTGCCAGATCATCTTACTTCTCTACTGAGTAAACTGTATATGGGCCAAAAAGCAACAGTTAGAACCAAACACGTAACAAGTGTCTGGTTTCAGATCGGAAAAGCAGTACAAGGCTGCGTATTGTCACCTTATTTAACTTATATGCAGAGTAGATCATGCAAAATGCCAGGTTGCATGAATCAAAAGACAGAATTAAGGTTGCAGAAATACCAAAAATCTCAGATAAGCAGACCAGTCTGATGGTAGAAAGTGAAGAGGAATTAAGAAGCCTCTTGATGAGGGTGAAAGAAGAGAGAGTATAAAAACTGGCTTGAAGCTCAACATCAAAAACACAAAGATCGTGGGCAACTGGTCTCATCACATCCTGGCAAAAAGAGGAAGAAAAAACGGAAATGGAAGCAGCATTAGATTTTATATTCCTGGGCTCAAAGATCACTGCAGACAGCAACTGCAGCCATGAAATTATAAGACACTTGCTTCTTGAACATAAAGTTATGGCAAATCTGGACAGCATATTAAAAAGCAGAGACATCACCTTGCAATTTGCCTCCCCTTGATGACAAAGGTCTGTATAATCAAAGCTATGGTTGTTCCAGTAGCATTGTATGGATATGAGAGTTGAACTAAAAGGAAATCTGAGCACTGTAGAATTGTGGTGATGGAGAAGACTTTTGAGAGTCCCTTGGGACAACAAGGAGATCAGTCAATACTTAAAAGAAATTAATTCAGGCTATTCACTGGAGGGTCGAAGCTTAAATACTCTGGCCACATAATGAGAAGATGGGACTCAATGGAAAAGACCTTGATGTTGAGAAAGATGGATTTGTTAAAATGAGAAAGGAATGGCAGAAGATGGAAGGGATAGATAATATCATGGAAACAACAAACATGAACTTGGACAGACTTTGAGAGATAGTGGGGGACAGAAGGGTCTGACCTGCTATGGTTCATGGGTACAAAGAATCAGACAAACGTGAATGGCTGAACAACAAACCCCAGTAACAATTCCCAAAAATAGCTGTCCTTTTCTCTCCTACTACCCTCCCATCCACTGTACAGACACAAGATCCCAGAAGGCAAATCAGAATACTTCTTGCTCACCATTGGCATTTC